CACAGCCCGGAAGACCCACACCAGCCATCGTATTCCAGCCGTGAAAGCCTTCGACAATACAGGATTGAAATAGTTTAGGAAGAGAAAGAGCACAGTGCAGATGAGCAATGCAAAGTGAGAGAAAAGTCTCTAGATTGTATCCAAGAAACCCAGGGTCAGATTCTTATTTTATCAAGAAGTCCACTAGAAAATCTTGAGGCAGTCATTCTTCACCTAATCTACTTTGAAGAGTTATGATGTAGAATGTAATGGGAGAACTCGGGGGAAGGATGGAATCAAAAGCTGTACAATAAGAAAGAGCAACTAAAGCTGAATTAGCAAAATTAGCAAAAAATTAGCAAAGTAGAAATAAAAGCAACATATAAAAATAGGAGACAATTTGAATAACAGTACAACAGCAATAAAGAAAACAGAATGCAAATCATATAAATCCAAAGCTAATAGCAAAAGAAATATCTCCACCAAAAGAGTAAAAAATGAATCCTATACCTATTTGTTAGGGAGGAAGTCCTCTTGAATTCCATGAGGGTTTATTTCTCAGTAATCATAAGTCAAGAAATCCTGATTGCTTTTAAAAAAAAGTTTTTTCATCTTATAACTACAATCCTAGGGATGGGTTAGACAAGTCTCTTTGAGAAGGTAATTATACAGTATTAGCATAACAACTAAAGAAAACATAACAAGTAATGAAATGTTGGCTAATTTTCTTCTCTGCTTCTTTTAGTTTTTGAAGGCTGTGATAACACCGGAGTATCTTCTAATCCTGGACTATCGTAGTTTAAATCTGGAAAACTGGCTATTCCAAGAACTGGCATCTCAGCTAGCTGGAGAAGGTCAACTAGTTACATATTCATTGCCTTTTGAATTCAGAGCTATAGAAGCAATACTACAGTATTGGGTGAGCGTGCTTATGCTGTGCTGAGAGCAATTGTTGGGGCCTTTCCAACCTGGAGCCCTCTGGACATGGTGGACTGCAGAGATCCAGGAATTTAAGTTCAACATATCTAGAGGACATTGGGTTGAGAACTTTATAATCATTTGCTGAACGAGGCAGATAAATACTGTATGAGAATTGTGGCTAAAGGTCACACTTTTCTATGGGTTAGTTCAAATGGCTGTCCTTATTAGTTTATTCTGTACTTAAAGACTCTGTTTCTGAGCTAGTTTCCTGACAACTTCTGTAATTAGTATAAAGCAAGAAAAAAAATCACAGAAACTTGTGAGATCCCTACAAGGAAGGTGAAAAGAGTCACCTTGTGTGAGATGGGCGGGTATATAAATATGATAACTAGATAGACAGACAGACAGGCTGATTTGATCACAAGTGAAGATATTTTGGATTTGATTTTTTAAAAAACCCTTATTTCATGCAGTGTAATAACTGGCATGTATCAGAAGTAGTTTTGAGTGCAAATATTTACTTTTAAATAATTATATACTGCATGTTATTGCATACATATCCAGTACAACATAGCATAAAATAATAACATTACATTCACTGTTTAAATCAATGGCAATGAGAAATAGAATAATAAAAGATTTCAGCAGGCATCAAAATTGTGATAAGGTTGGTATATGTTTTATTTCCAGTGGAAGCGTGTTCTGCATATATTTCTGCCTGGATTACCAACTTTGTTAAAAGCTCAGGATTATATGTCTTTTCTGTTTGACAAGAGGACTCTTTTAGAAGGCATTCTAAAAGGATTATTTTAATTCTTATGAAGGATCCTGTTGTTATCTAGATCAGCTACCTGAGTGGCAGACTTAGCCATCTGCAGCCTCAGATTCTTGAGACACTGAATGCTTTAGTGGATCCTAAGCTTTTGTCTCTGGATCGGAGCAAGGTCCATATCTTATTGCAAAATGGAAAGAGGTAAGCAAGTCTCCCTTCACTCGCTTACATTACCTTGTTATGTATGTTGTAGTAAGCCATTTTCTTGCATTGTATAATAACAGCACCACTTATTACTGCAGATGGCTTAAACTAAATGTTAGGCAAGGGAGAAGCACTGTAGGTTGATGTCTTAAATGCTGAATTGATTTGTTCAATTCCAATTGTTGCTGTTACAGTTTTTTTGTTGCAACAGATTAACATACAGTCAGGTCCAGAAATATTGGGACATCGACACAATTCTAACATCTTTGGCTC